TTTTCATATTTAGTCAACCATTTAGACATTTAGTCACATAATATTTATTTAGTCAACTATTTAGGCATTTAGTCAAACTTAGACTTTTGACATGTCGAAAAAAAATAATGCCATGTCGAAATATATTTAGACACTAATTGCCTAAATGAATGGTTGACTAAATTAAGTATTTCGACTAACAACATTACCTTACTATTGATATTTATTTTCCAGAGACCTCCTATTTATTGATCACATGGTTAGTGGTCAAGAAAAAATAGTAAAGAAAGTAACATATTAACCTTGATCTACTAATAGTAACCAACTAATAGTTGTGGAGACCATACTAGGAAGGTAACCTCCAAATGTGACTAAGCCACCGTTCTCTATAAAGTCTAAGCAAGAAAATATTGAGTTGCATAGCCGTAAATAATAAGGTTTAAGTTTTAGAATTTTAAATTTACTAAACAATTTTGCAGCTAAATCTTCAGTTAACATCATTATCTGACTTCTTAATAAACAAATAAATGAAAAGCCTTAACTCTCAGTTAAATTCTAGTTTAGAAATTCTATTTGAGTCACTCAAAGTAAGTTACTTGAAGATAATTAACTAATTAACATCAATATTTTTTGGCTTGAGTAAGCGAGAGAATTTAAATGAGCACAAAATATATAGGTCAATTTCATTGATCATAAAAATCATGTAATTAGTGAGAATTATTAGCTTTTTTGTTTTGCTGTTTAGATGATCGGGGAATGACATTAATTAAAGTTTTAACCCAAATAATATTTTCTTTAATATCTACATTTCTTATGTATTGTGGGACTATTAAGAGACTAAGCATGCTTTTGGGAATCATAAAATCTCAAGTCAGAATCGATAACAAATTTTCACATTAATAGCAAACTGCAATAAATTAAAATAAAAAAATCATTTACCGTATTCCGTTCTCAAAGTATCCTGGGTCTTTTACAAATTGGGCATTTTAAAACCTGATAAGGGTCCTTTACATGGGTAGTACTTTTCAAAAAGCTATGTAGTTTACTATTAACGTAGTATAAAATTGTACCGAATACTCATAGCATTATACCCGGATATTTTACAGTTATTAAGGTGAGATATAATATGTGAGTAAACTTTGGAGAACAGAATATAGTAAATTATCTAAAATAAAATAAAAAAGGTTGCGGTTTGCATAATTTTGTGACTCCTATGATTAATTTTTTATGATTAAATACTCTAAAGCCAGCCTTGAGCTTAACACAAACTCAGATTCATGATAAATCGGCTAGTTTTAGCAATCACGATCATTTAATCATAAAAAGATTAATCATAGAGTCACAAAATTAGGCAAACATAGTTAAAAAACATCAAAAAGGAAAAATAAAAATAAAAATTTAAAAATTTTTTTTATAGTTATTAAAATATATGTTGTACAAAAATTTCACTGGCCAATCAAATTTTAAGATCACATAATGTAAAGTTTGTAAATTTTAAGATACAAACTTTATATGTAATTTTAAAATTTTGCCGGCGAAATTTTTGATTTTTTTTAAAAAAAATTTTTAACTATATAATTTAAATCTTTTTTTTTTATTTAAAGATTTTTTTAAATTAATAATTTATTTGAATTTTTATTTATTATTTTTATTTAAATGTTATTTTTTTAATAATTTATTTTATTGTTGTTTTTTTTATCTAATTTAAATATGCCGCAAAAATTAGAGTAATAAAATGGCTCTAGATAGAGGAAGGATGATTGCAAGGACGTGTTTGTGTTGGAAGAGTGGTCAGGGAAGAGGAGGTTTTAGGGGAAAGATAGTTATTAGAGGTTGTAATTGTTGGGGAAGTAAATAGTTGTGGGCTAAGTAGTTGTGAGAAGTGATTTTTAGGTAAAATGAAGCCCCCGGGCTGAGAAAAAAAAACCTCACTATAACTTAAATCGAGAGAATTTTATATGTACTTTATATCGAACTGAAGTTTAATATTCTATATCAAATTGTGAAGGTTCACTATAAGAATGAGTTGTATTCAAGCTTTACATATCCGATGTATGTACTGTATATGCGTACTATAAATGGTTTACATCACGTATAACAGGCGAATCATATTATTCAAATATATCAATTAAATCAAATCGAATACATATTTGATTCGATTTGGTTTAATAAAATCCAAATAAGTTATTATTTGATTTGAAAAAAATAAATCAAATTCAAATTAATATAATATTTGATTTGATTTTATTTTTTGGAACCCTATACACTGTACTGTAAATATAACTTTCCATAATTTGCCCTTACATTTTTAATTCTAATCACTAGTAACTACTTTATATAAATGCATATACTTTAACTCATACTATATGGCACAATGCACTTAGAGAGATCTGCTATACAATGTTTAATAAAGTTATACAATTATTAATCAATTTAAATACCCTTATCATCAAATTTTTCAGCTTTCAGCCAATTTTGTATATTAGAAATCAACATTTAAATATTTTTAAATATCAGGAACAGTCAAATCATCAAATTCTTCAGCTTCTTCAATAGAATACTGATTTGAAGTATCATAAAT